GGAGAGCTACACTTTAGCCTCCTTATCACAGTTTTTAAGCTTTCTCTTCAATGGCTTCCCATGTAGGCTGTTACTTGGAGGTGGGCTTTTTTTTTTGGGGGGGGGGGAGTTGTCACTGAAGCGTTCCATGTCCCTCTTTCTCAACAGTGAATTAGTTGTCAATGCCATGACAAAAGTAGCTTCCTGTAGGCTTCTTAATAATGTAAAAAATCAAATCCACCCAAATTTAAAGCCAGGTTAAACCTTGTGAGTGTCTGAGCCCTTCAAAAAGCTGCTGGGCATGTACAGATGTACAGGTCTTACAGGAAAGCTCTGCCTTCCTTTGGGATGTGCCGTCCCCCTAGAATGGCTCGCTTGCCTCTGACTGACAGGCTTACCCCAGTGGGAGGTACCATCCTGTCCTGTGCTCACGGGGTGTTTAGTAGTACCGGGGGCCTCTGTTCTCTGGATCAGCTTCTCTTCAACTTTCCCATTCACAATGCCTTGGCTTGAGATATTTTTACATACACTAGATATATCAATATAGAAAATAGCTATATGTTAACTGATAATAAATTATAAGGAAATTTTTTGTCATTACATTTATATTGTGCATTTGTGGACAACTTTCAGGAAGCAGTTCTGTCCGTCGTGTGGGTCCTGGGAATCAAACTTGTGATGCCATGCATGCTTGGTGGCAGGTGCCCAGGAAATTCATTTTTAAATAATTCTTTGATATACATGTAATAAAACCTTTTCATCAGAGATGAAAACAAATTTTATACTTTTGAGATGGTCATAAATAATCCTGGCCGTAATTGGTACTGCAGAGCTATCACCTTCAGTGTTTTTCTTTTTCTTTTGTTTTGTTTTTTGAGACAGGGTTTATCTGTGTAGCTGTGACTGTCCTGGAACTCGCTCTATAGACCGAGCTGATCTCAAGCTCCCAGAGGTCTACCTGCCTCTGCTGAGTGCTGGGATTAAAGGTGTGCACCGCCTTTGCTCTTAATATTTTCATTGTCTTCTGTGTTTTTCAGGTTTTTTCCATAAGTGCTAAGAATTCTATTTTCTAAATTGTGCAAAGGGTAGAAACGTGTCTAGGGGTATTTCAGAAAATGTTTGAAAGCTGAGGATGCAGCTCAGTAGGTTGAATACCAGCGTAGTGTACCAGAGGCCCGGGTTGGCTCCCTAGCACTACCCAAACCAGATGGTGACACACACAGAGGCCTGCAGTCCCCCCACTCTGCAGTGGCAGAATCATCAGGAGTTCCGCTTAAGAACTCCGTCCTTTATCAGAAACCACAGCTCCTCAACCCTGACTGGAAATCAAGAAGACATATGCTACAAAAAATTAACCCAGCATCAAGATACATCACAGATCCTTTCCCAGCAAAAGAAGCTACAATAGAAGAGTTGCAGGGTTGGGTTGCCACCTAGTGGACGGCAGAGGATACTGCATGCTCGTTACCCCTGCTCCTTAATACAGGCAGAAAATCTCATGCTTTTGAAATGTTCTTCTAAAGTTCCTTACTTTTTATCTCTCTTTCAGCTATTGTGTGGTTATGGCGAGACAACCTTCTTATTTTTGATTAGTTAGAAGCCAGTCCTATGTTAGTATGGGCTGGCAAGATGGCTTAGTGGGTAAAGGTGCCTGCTGCAGACCTTAAGACTGAATTCAGTCCTAGCAACCAACCCCTGCAAGCTGTCCCCTGACTCCCACACCTGCAGTGTGGCATACAAGCTCCTCCCACAAAATGCAGAAATAAAATCAAGTCTTTAGAATTATTTTGAAGTGTATTTCTTAAGGTTGCTACTTAAGAATAATTTTCTGCTGGGACCAGTGGCACCTGCCTGTAATGCCAGAACTCAGGGAGGCAGGTGGATCTCTGTAAGTTCAAGGCCAGCCTGGTCTACAAATCCAGTACAGGACGGACTGTGTCTTGGAAAAAAGAAGGGGGGGGGGGGGAGGAGGAAGAGGAGGAGAATTATTTTCTTGTTACAGTTCTTAATGCAAATTATGAAATAAAATTGGATGTCATTTTAAAATAATGCTGTGAATCTTTGGATCTTTTATTAAAATTCTCAAGTTGTCTTAATAATCTCTGAAGCATTTTTTCTTTTTAAATTGATGGTGCTAGATTGGAAGCCAGAGCTAGAGCCTCATACATGAGGCTCTTTACTTGAACTACATCCTAGGCCCAGTTTGCTTCTTTCATCAGTAATGCAGCAGCAACAAACCTTTATATTTACTGGTTAACAGTTTTTTAAAAAGGTGTTTTGTTTTGTTTTTGGCAGTTCTGTACTTTTATGTGGCATTCGGTAGGCTAGTTCTGATCCACATTGACCTCTGTAGATTTTTGAATTGGAAACAGGCATGTAAGTTACCAATGTGTAGAGCTTGCATTTTGTTTTGTTTGTCTAAGATGGAAATTTCTAGCCTCTCAGGGTTAGTTAGCTGTGCTTCTTTGTGGTGGCTTGGGCTCTGTAGGAGCTGTACAGCGAAATTTCACACACGGCCTGGAGAAAGCCTGGCTCTGCTTTACTCTCAACCACACTAGATGATTTTCTTACTCCAGCTCTGGCTGATGATCCCTGAACTGCTTCTTGCAGTGAACAGAGCTGAGAAAAGAATGCCACTTCATTTGGATTCAGAAAGGCCAGGTTCTAACTTACAGGGCTCCACTTAGCAGGCAACGGGGAAGACGCCAGGCAGCCTGCCAGGCACCTGCCTCTGTCGTTCGTATCTCTAGTCCAGCCTTCCACTTGTAGTACAGGCACCTGCCTAGGCATCACCTGTCCCTGCCTTCCACAGGCCAGCTGGGCCATGCAGCACAAGCCTGCATGGATGACAAAATCAGGCTCACAGCAGTGGAGACAGGAATTTACACTTTAACCTTGGTACAGTAGTTGCCCAAGGCAGTGCCTGGTCCCCATTATGTGCTCAGTCAGTGGGAGAAATTGTAGGGAAAACGCTATAATTACCAAGTTAAAGTGCAGCACAGTCTTGTAATCTGCTTCAGAAGGCTGGGCTAGGAGGATTGCAAATTCAAGGGCCTATCCAGCCACCTCAGTAAGATCCTGTCTTAAAATAGAACGTAAGGGGGATAGGGGCCTGGAGGTCTAGCTTGTGGCATTTCTGTGAGGCTTCAGGATAATTCCAATCACTCTCCCCTGGGGGGCTGCTTTGCCAGGCCACTGAGGTAGAGGCTGTGCTCAGTCCTGACATACAGCTTGATGTGCCGGGATTGGGGGGAGCACTCCCCTTTTCTGAAGGGGAGCAGAGGGAGTTCAGGGAATGAGGAAAGGAGGGTGAGTCCAGGAGGAGGGAGGGGACTACAGTTGGAATATAATGTGAGTGAGTGAGTGAATGAATGAGAACAAATAAAAAGGTAACCTCCAAGGTAAAAACAATTTTTATATATTGAGTTTAAAATTAAATTATAATATTAAATTAGTTTACTTATTCCAGAATAACAGTTTTTCTCAGGCTAGGGGACCTATAGAGGTATTGTGGGAACCAGCAAATGGGAAGAAAGGGGCACAGAGTCTTGCCGGGAGAGGTGGGAAGTCACCTAGATAGACTGTTCCCCAACACACAGAAGGAGAGCTGATGCTTGAGTTCTTGATGTGTGCCAGGACAGTCAAGGCAAAGGAACACAGTGAGAAGACAGTCTGCACACTGTTGGGGATTAAGAGTGGATGGCCTAGGTGATGGTGGTGCACATTTTTAATCCCAGCATTTGGGAGGCAGAGGCAGGTGGATCTCTGAGTTCGAGAGTTCAAGACCAGCTTGGGCTATAGAGCAAGTTCCTGGACAGCCAGGGCTGAACAGAGAAGCCCTGTCTAAAACAAAACAAAAGAAAAACAAAACAAAAAAAGAGTTGATGACGAAAAGGGGGAAAGACAGACATGAAATTCTACCACTCTCTTCTGGCTTGGGGCCACTAGAAACTCAGGGAACTGCTTAGAAAATGAGTTAGGACAGTCCAATAGAAAACAGAGCCCAGCAACCATCTGATCGTCTGGGTTTGTTTCTGTCTTCTAGATTAAGAAAACAGCAGCTTCTCTGGAGGAGCCAGTGTGGCAGGAGAATTTTCTGTCTCCAATGGGATAGTTTCCTAGTTTCTGGTTGAAAAACGTCTTCCTGGGAAATCTTGATTCAGAGTCTAAATCTAATACAGATAAAGGTGATGTGGAGGCTGGAATGGCGGAGAAGCCGAGTGTGAGGCTTGCTGCCATTCACACTGTTTCCTCTTAGATTTATGATTGCTCCAAAGCTTTGCCCAGAAAGGCATTCTCCTGGGAGCATTACAGCCAGCCAGGCCCAAGGTACCGCAGGGGTGAGGCCGGAAGCTGCTGAGACACTCATTTACAGTAGAGAGTCACCTTACCCAGCAGGCTACACTGCCGGTTTCCCCGTGTGAGTGGTCATGTTGGTAATATTCTAGAACAAAGCCAGAAACTCTTAACCCTCAGGTCTAGCCACATAGCTGTGGCTGTCATGGAACTCACTATGTAGAACAAGCTGGCCTCAAACTCACAAAGCTCTGCCTCTCTTTGCCTCCTGAGCGCTGGGATTAAAGGCATGCACCACTACACCCAGCACATTTTTTTTTAATGAGCAATAGTAAACATTTAAGCCAGCTCTGAAGAGTCAGGGGGATTTCATAAGAGTCCCACCTCTCAGGAAGGAGCTCTAGAGTCTCTTGTGGGCATTGAGGAGTGAGTGGCTAAGCTGTCAAAGGGTGCCATGGGTACCTTCCTCATGGTGTTCCTCCACTCTTGGTCACATTCACCTGGATAGTATTCTGGACCTGTGATACTGTCTTTACATTTTGAGATTAAAAAGTTGGGCATGATGACTCACACCTCTAATCTCAGCACTTAGGAAGGCTGAGACAGGAGGATTGCCATTAGTCAAGGTCAGCCTAGACCTTGAAATTGTCTCAAAAAAAGCTCCAGGTAAATGTGTTTATCCCTTGAGGTCTGTGTGCCCATGTGTGTCTCCTGTTGCCTGTCAGCTGCAGTTGTATTCGGAGGCCAGTGTCGCTCTTCTGAAACTGAATAACCCCCAGAGTTTCCAAGAGCTGAACAAGCAAACCAAGAAGAACATGACCATCAATGGGAAGGAACTGACCATCAGCCTTGCCTACCTGCTGTGGGACCTGAGCACCATCAGCCAGGTAAGCAGTGCAGACTTCCGCCGCTCAGGTCAGGAATTCAGAGTGCTTGCCTTTGCCAGAATAGCTGGGAGCAATAGGTTGAAGAATTTGAATGTCTGATACTTACTGAAAAGAACAAGGCTAGGAGAGAGATGACTCAGCTGTTAAGAGCACTTGCCGCTCTCTTCCAGAAGACCCAAGTTTGGCCCTAGTGCCCACACTGTATGGCTTATAACCTCCTATGATGCCACCTCCAAGGAATCTCATCTTCTCTGGTCTCCAAGGGCACCCACATAAGAATACACTCACATATAGATGTAAATAAAAATAAAATAAAATTTTGGCCAGGCTAGATAGCATCTGCTTTTAGTCCTAGCACTTCAGAGGCAGAAACAGACACATTTTTGTGTGTTTGAGGCCAGCCTGGTCCACATATTAAGTTCTAGGCCAGCAAGACCAATTGGATCTAAGACCCTTTATGTACAGTATATTAAAGAGATGGTTACACAAAGCATGTGTATATTTCTTGCATTTTAAAGGTCAACCAGAATCCCTTTCCTAGTTAGATTTTCTTCTGCTGTGAGGAAACACCATGACCAAAGCAACTTAGGAAAGAAAGGGTTTGTTTGCCTTACCCTTCCATGTCTCTGTTCATCATCAAAATAAGTCAGGACAGGGACTCAAATAGGGCGTGAACCTGGAGGCAGGAGCTGATGCAGAGGCCATGGAGGGGTGCTGCTTACTGGCTTGCTCAGCTTGCTTGCTTATCACCCAGGACCACCAGCCCAGGATGGAGCCACCCACAATGGGTTGGGTCTTCCCCAATGATTCATTAATTACGAAAATTCTCATAGATAGTAGTGGCGGAGTGGAGGCCTTAATCCCAGCACTTAAGAGGCAGAGGCAGGCAGACCTCTTCTCTGAATTAGAGGTCAGTCTGGTCTGCAATTTGAGTTCCAGGATAGCCAGGGCTACACAGAAAAACCCTGACTCACAATAAACGAACAAACAAGAAAAAATTAAGAAAGAAAAGAAGACAATTTCCATCATCACCTGCAGCCTGATCTCACGGAGACAGCTGACGTTCCCTCCCCTCAGCTTTTGTGAAGTTGACATAAAACTTGCTCCCCTTAGAGCAGAGCAGGTAGAGAGTTGCCACAGAGCTGCGCATCGAGGGTAGATACCTCATGACTTTGTGTGTCAAGTGTCTCTCCCATCTCCCAGTCCAAGCAGGATGAAGATGTGTCTGCCAGCCGTTTTGAAGATAACGAAGAGCTGAGGTATTCATTGCGATCTATCGAAAGACATGCACCATGGGTGCGGAATATTTTCATTGTCACCAACGGGCAGATTCCATCCTGGCTGAACCTTGACAACCCTCGAGTGACAATAGTGACCCACCAGGTGCGTGACTCCGAGAATATCACAAGGCTGTGCTTTCCGGTGTGCGCTTTCAGTGTGGTACAGTGAGTGATCTCGTAACTTCATGGCCCTCCCCTTCCCCACTCCACACCTATCTTTTTTCAGTTTTTACAGTCTCTTTCATCCCTTCCCTCTTTCTAAATGCCCAACCAAATCAAAACAGATGACACTTCCCCTCCGCATGTGTTTTCTGTTGAAAGGACATTTTCCGAAATGTGAGCCACCTGCCAACCTTCAGCTCACCTGCTATTGAAAGCCACATCCATCGAATCGAAGGGCTTTCACAGAAGTTCATTTACCTAAATGATGATGTCATGTTCGGTAAGGATGTTTGGCCAGATGATTTTTACAGTCATTCCAAAGGCCAAAAGGTAAGTGCTAAGATGGTTGGGTACCTAGCTAGGAAATCCCTACAGATGAGGAAATCTGTGTGTCCATTTTTATATTCAAGCGTTAATAAATATGCATTTATGACTTCTAAGTCAGCAGTTAGGCAGTAAGAAAACGACAGTGGGAAATTGCTTTGCTGCAGTCTCAGATAAACAGAACCCCCCCCTTCCCGGGGCTCTTTATATTTTCTAGTATAGTAAAACCACTTTGCAGCAAAAATGCAACTAGAAAATTAGCTTGACTTAGTGCTTAAGTGGGGAGTGGGTGAAGTTTCACATGAGGTGGCCTGCCCAGCTCTGGCAGTGTTGAGTTTTCGGAGTGGGCCACTGCAGGCTTAAATCACGTGGGATAGGGAGACCTCCTGTCGGAAGGGAGCTGGCTTCGTTTTCTGTGCCAGGGATCAGCCCCAGGAACTGTACCCACCAGGACAATACTCTACCACAGAGCCAGACTCTAGCCATCGGCAAGCTCTAGTGTCAGTTTAGATTAAAAATATAAATTCTGAGTATGTCATGTGCAAAAGAAGGGTGAGTTTACAAAAAGGAGAGGGTATGTTTATCTTCAGTGGATTTAATTTATAAAGCAGTCATGTACCACATAAGTCATTTTGGGAACTTGGGACGTTGTGCTAATTATGTGCCTAAACACAGCTTTACCATGGAGATAATGGCTCCTAGCATGGTGTTCCTCCCCTCAGCCTTGAGGCGATTATGCATAAATGCACTCAGGGGCAACCAGCAAGTATCACAGCTAAAGAGTGGCTGTGCCAGACTTCCTTCCTACTTTGGCGTGTTCTTACACTCACATGTAAGTCTGGCACAGTCTTACTTTATTCTGAAGGAGATTATTGAAGTAGACCCCTGCACATCGGGGGTTTACTTTTGGATGATGCACAAACCACACCCAAACACCAGTTTTTACGGAGAGATCCTTTATTAAACAGGGACAAAAAGGTACAGTGGCTGTTTTCTGACTCAGGCAGAAAAAAACAGCAGAGAAAAAGGGGGAGGTCTGTGTTAGAATGGGCTAAGATGCAAGATGCAGATGGTATATTGTGATTGGGCATGTTGATTAGGTGAACCAGAGGGTGCTTTTGATTGCTGGACCTTGGGGGTTAGCTCTAGGAATAATCTAACAGCTTTTAGCAGAGAGAATGGGGAGAAGGGCAGGGCCTACCAGAGCCGTGGTTGCCAGGCCCAGGCTAGCTAGAGGACTGTCAATTATAATGGCCCGTTGTTGAGACTAATCCACAAGCTGAGTCCTCGTCTTGAAGCAACTGGGAAAGGATAACCATGCAGCAGTTGGCCTGGCAGGCTTAACTCCAGCGGCATGGGCCAACCCTCAGCAGTGCCAAGTGCCAGCAGCCAGTCTTGGGGAACTTTGGAAGTTAAATTTGTTTTACGAGACAGGGTTTCTCTGTGTAGCCTTGGCTGTCCTGGAACCCTGCCTCCCTGAGCTCTGGGATTACAGGCGTGCATCACCGTGCCCATCCTGAAAGCTTTTTTTTTTTTTTCCCTAAAGAAATTTTAATTCAAGAGTAAAAAGGGTCAGAAATTATTATGTTTTTCTCTTTGACTTTATCACAGGTTTATTTGACATGGCCTGTGCCGAATTGTGCAGAAGGCTGTCCTGGCTCCTGGATTAAAGATGGCTATTGTGACAAGGCCTGTAATAATTCAGCCTGCGATTGGGATGGTGGTGATTGCTCTGGTGAGGACAAGCTAAATGTGACTTGTTCATTTTCCCAGAGATTCCTGGTTGGTGTGGCCACGTGGCGCAGATGATTCATGCACTCTTGACTGCATTTCTCTAGTATAGGCTCTGCACGTGGGAGTATCTTTCGTTATTACTTAAAGCACCTAGGTTACCCTCAATCTTGGCAACCCAAGTATCATTCTCACCAGTTCTACTGGAGCCCATTGAGCTGCAGAAGAAATAGCTCTTATCTACTCAATAGTCCCCTCTGCCCTCCCTCTGCCCCACCCCCACATCCCACTCCACCCCGACACACCACCATTCACCTTTGGACTTGATGGTGGCACTTTTTAAAATATGTTTATTTAGTACCTTTCAGTTTGTAAAGCACTAAATTCTAGAGCATTATTTATTACCCACTTGAAGTTTTTGGGCTTCAAGAAATAGAGTGCTTACACATAATATCATCCTGGTGTTCCAGATGAAGAAATGGGCTTGTTAGTATGTTGAATATTGAGGAGGTAAAAGCTGTGCCTCAGTCTTCTCTGTCAGGTGCTCTTTTGTAAAATATAAGCAGCTGCAAGGAGAGAACACAGATGTGAGCAGTAGACGTAGTAAAGGTTAGCACTTGATGGAGGGAACAGGTTGGAACATGGTTTTGAATTCTGACAGTCACGGTCCCCAGAACAATACCTCCCCTTCTCCACTTTGCTCTTAGTCACACTGCACTCTACCAGCTGATACTCCCTTTGGGGGTTTTCCTCAAGACTCAGAGTCCTTTGCTAGTGAGCCTTTGTGGCTGCAGTTCCTGGGTCAGTCTTGTGAACGTAATGATGAGCTGTCATCATTCACAATGGTAAGCCCAGCAAAGGCTCCTCCTTCCTCCTCTCTCTACAGGTAACAGCGGCGGCAGTCGCTACGCTGCGGGAGGTGGGGGTACCGGGAATATCGGAGTTGGACAGCCTTGGCAGTTTGGTGGAGGAATAAACAGTGTCTCTTACTGTAACCAAGGATGTGCAAATTCCTGGCTTGCTGATAAGTTCTGTGACCAAGCCTGCAACGTCTTGTCCTGTGGGTTTGATGCTGGTGACTGTGGACAAGGTATGTTGATTGCAATGAAAGCATTAGAAACAAAGGGCTAAACCCACAAATAGAGGAGCAGTGGGCGGTTGTCATTATTTAGAGTAGTTCTTCTCAGATGGGCAGAAAAGTTGGAAATTAGTCATTGAAATCTATTGACAAAAATCATGCCACATCTCTATAGTGAAAGTCAGGGTTATTAACGTTCCATGAAAATTGCTGTGGTCACCTCAAATGAGCATACATACATGTGTATATATCTCCAAAGGGATTATTAAAATTTGTGGGCGTTTTAAAATAAATTTAAAGTCACCCTTAGAAAATAAGAACTTGAACCCAGAGAATTAAGGAACGGGAGTAAAAATGCCTAATTAAAAAGAAACCATGTTTGTGTTTTTTTCCTCTAGATCATTTTCATGAATTGTATAAAGTAACTCTCCTCCCAAACCAGACTCACTATGTTATCCCCAAAGGTGAATACCTGTCTTATTTCAGCTTTGCAAAAATAGCACGAAGAGGAGTTGAAGGCACCTACAGTGACAATCCAATAATCCGGCACGCATCCATTGCGAACAAGTGGAAAACCATACACCTCATTATGCACAGTGGCATGAATGCAACCACCATACATTTTAACCTCACCCTGCAAAACTCAAATGACGAAGAGTTCAAAATCCAGATAACCGTAGAGGTGGACACAAGGGAGGTGCCGAAACTGAATTCTACAACCCAGAAGGCCTATGAAAATTTGGTTAGCCCTGTGACACCTCTTCCTCAGGCTGAAATCCCTTTTGAAGATGTTCCCAAAGGGAAACGCTTCCCCAAGGTCAGGAGACATGATGTAAATGCAACAGGTAGATTCCAAGAGGAGGTGGAAATCCCCGTGGTAAATATTTCACTCCTTCCAAGAGAGGCCCAGGTGAGACTGAGGGGCTTGGATTTGCAGCTGCAGCAAGGAGACATCACTCTGAAAGGATACAACCTATCCAAGGCGGCCCTGCTAAGGTCTTCCCTGGGGATGTCACTAGATGCTAAAGTAAACCCCCAAGCTGGAAGGACCGATGAAACAAAGGATAACTTGGAGGTCTCCCAGGAAAAGCCCTCTCAGGAAAGCCCACGTGATTTTGTTGCTGGACACAGATCAGAGACACAGAAGTCCCCAGTGGGTACAGTGAAGGTGAATGACCGTGACCATAATTTGAATCTAACCCTGGTCTCGGAGACAGATGCACGGTTTAAGTTGAAATCTCAGGCCCATGGTGCACCAGGCCTGGGTGTATCCAAAGAAAACCTCTCGCCGCTGATTATTCCCCCGGAAAGCCACAGAGCAAAAGAAGAGCTCCCAGGGAAAGAAGAGGAAAGAGACAGAGCCGAGGGCAATGTGGACAGCCCGGTAGCTGTGAATGAAATAGTGCCTGGAAGACGGTTGCAGCAGCATGCTGTACACAGTTACCCAGGCTTTCTGCCTTGGGAGAAGAAAAAGTATTTCCAAGACCTTCTTGATGTAAGTTAGAGCCAGCCTTATGCTTTGTCATGCCCAGGAACATAAGTAACCTTATAAGCGATAATATAATCTAGCGTTTTCCTGTGAGCACAACTGAACTAAATGCCTTTCCTGAGTGATTTCATTTCATTTTTCCCATAAAAATGCCATATAAAACGTGAATAAGAATTTTAGCTAGGGATGGGGGCTGGGCAAGTGGGAGAACAGGGTCAGCATCCCGCCTCTCAGCCTCTCAGCCTGTAGCTCTGGTACTGTTCCAGTGTTACTGGTGTGAAAAGCTGAGGTTTAGATAAGCTCGCTAGCATTTCCAGCATCAACGCAGCCAGCGGTGTAAGCCAAACCTCACAGCCGGGCCTCTTGTCCCCCGTGTCATGCGTGGCATTCACTGTGCCAAGGTGCTGTTTTTCCTCTGGCTGCTGCCACAGTGAACAACACTGGGAATACAGAGCCACTGCTCAGGAAGACTGAGAGCTCACTAAGGACAGATTTAGAGGTGACAGTTGTGGCCATGAGGGGACATAGGCAAGGAGTCCCTGGGGAAACAGGCTCAGCGTTGCCCAAGGCATTAGGGCAGGCTTCCAGGGACCAATCCCTACGAGCCAACCCTAGATGGGGCAGAGCTGATGGACCAAGAGAAGCTGTGCGGTCAAGGCTGGACGGTGAAGAAGCATCTGAAGTGGGGCCGTGTCTTGTCCTCAGCACTTTTGGGAAGCATCATCTTGCCTTGCACCCTGGGCATTTACTAATCCCTGGGAAGGTGCAGCTTCTTGCCTGTGCTTCTTTTTACACTTTCCTAAAAGTATAGAAATGTGATTGACTGTAGACTAGTGAAATTTTCAAGCAGTACAAAATCTGCTGTGAAAAGGGAAGGTCTTGAATCTGGGTCCTTGAGGTCGATGAACGGCAGCCCTCCCAGGCTTTTCTCTGGGTGTATTAAGTGTGCCGCCTGCTCAGTTTCTGCCCTGCGGTGGTGATTCTGTGCCATCCACGTGTGCCCTCGCTGCCTCGGGTTCAGTACCTGTGAGGACTGGTTCCTGGCAGCACCTTTGTTCTTTCCAACAGCTGGACATCTGCAGTATTTTACAACTATCGGCTCTCAGTGTGTTTTTCCATACCTTATGCTTAAGCTTTTAATTCCACTGGGAGAAGTGGAAGGTTTTGAAAACATGGTGTCCTAAAACATGGCACCACTTTGCACTCCTACCATGACCAGGAACGCTGGCCATTCATAGACTAACCAGCACTGGTCACCATCATGTCTTCACAGTTTCTTCTATTAAAGTATTTCAACTTCTTTGCCAGTTTTCTTTGCTCCTTTAGTTCTGCCCAACTGGTTTTGTCTCTTTCATACAGCGAGCTCAGTTTCTTTTAGTCGTATTCAAAATTCAAATACATGCTCCTTTGTAGCTTTACATTTAAGGCACTATAACATTTGTATGTAAATTGTCTAAGTGTTACACAGCATTGGCTTTAAAGTCACGTTTTGATGCACACCTGGCCTGTGACGTCACTGTTATTCTCAAGCCAGTGCTGACCTGACAGCACAGACTTCACTCACCGTTGAGGACTGTTAGTGAGCAGTGGTACCACTTTCTAAAACAGTGCGTGGTGGCGCCTTTATCTCTGGACTAAACACAATATTGAGTTACACGGAATTCTCCTTTCAGGAGGAAGAGTCACTGAAGACACAATTGGCATACTTCACTGATAGCAAACATACAGGGAGGCAGCTAAAAGACACGTTTGCGGACTCCCTCCGCTACGTCAATAAAATCCTGAATAGCAAGTTTGGATTCACATCCAGGAAAGTCCCTGCACACATGCCACACATGATTGACAGAATCGTCATGCAAGAACTGCAGGATATGTAAGTCTCCGCTGTGCCCCTGTTGCCTGCCCATGTACCTGACGTTTGCATATGAGCTTACGGCCTCCATATTTGATGTGTCAAAGATGCCATGTAAATAGGACTTGAAGACAGACTTGTGTTTTCATAAACGCCCGATACTGCATGTAACCTGGGCTATCCAGAGCTCTCTGTGTTATATTTGGGCAGGTTCCCTGAAGAATTTGACAAGACGTCTTTTCACAAGGTGCGTCACTCCGAGGACATGCAGTTTGCCTTCTCATATTTTTATTACCTCATGAGTGCAGTCCAGCCCCTGAATGTTTCGCAAGTCTTTGATGAAGTAGATACGGATCAATCGGGTGTCTTGTCTGATAGAGAAATCCGGACACTGGCGACCAGAGTTCACGACCTGCCCTTAAGCTTGCAGGTAATGTCTCTCTTAGCCTGAGAAAAATCTAATTTGCATATTACCTCTTCTTCTACTGCATTTCAAGTAAAGATAAGTCTGAATGCTTCATGTGTTGGCTAGTACCTTATCCATTTACTAGTGCCAAAATTAAATAATGTTTCAGATTTGTGTTTTATGGATTGTGTGTGTGTGTGGCCTTGCATTGGGGTTGTTTGTTATCTGAGGGAATGCACCATGTGATCCTGTGGCGAGTTCATTGAGGGCCTGGAGGTACGACTGACTAGGGAGCTCAGCTGAGTCCTCCATGCCCCTTTGGAATGCAGATCTCATGCATGGGAATGTGAAAATGAATCGAGTTGCACAGAGTTCTTTCTTATGACCCTGGACCACCCTGTAGAGATGGGTGTCTCGTGGCCCTCACGTTCTGTTTCAGATGAGGATGAAATATTTGTTGTATTGTCTTATTTTACTCTTTTGAAATGTTTCTGTTTTATACTTTACTTAGAAATCTATTGCTATTGAGCCTGTAAAATCGCCATTTTTAGATTTTCACGTACTGATAATAAAAAAGTATGTGAATCATAATAAAAGATTTTTCCCTTTATTGTTTGAGATTATAACATATTATATCATCACCCCTTCCCTTTTCACCCTCCACATCCTCTCATGCACCTCCCTCCATGCTCTTTTCCAAATATTTGGCCTTCCATCCCCATTAATTGTTAGAGACATGTATGTATATGTATAGACATATATAAATACATAAGTCTGTATAATGTTACTTGTATGCACATACTTTTTATTTTTAAACCAGTTTTATCTATGCTATGTATAACAATTTATAGTTTATGCTGTATACATAACATTTTATCTATGTTGTATATAAAAGATATATTTTATCTATGCTGTATTTAACAGATTATATTGTATCTATACTGTATATAACAGATTTATATATTATCTATGCTGTATATAACAGATTTCCATTTTTCTTTGTTAGGATCTGACAGGTTTGGAACACATGTTAATAAATTGCTCAAAAATGCTCCCTGCTAATATCACTCAACTAAATAATATTCCACCAACTCAGGAAGCGTACTATGATCCCAATCTGGTAAGTGTCTTGTTAATGCCAATGAGGCTATCTTCAGCCTTTCTGTGGAGCACGTTGAAGCTAGAGGCAAGGCAGCAGCACAGATATGTAGTTACTTGCAGCTTGTCTCAGAATGCCTCCGCACTCTGATCATACTAGCTGGTATTCAGATTGCTCACTTAGATTCCATAAACAGGCATCCTAGTGACCAAGAGTGATAACAAGGAACCCCCGAGCTGTCTTTTAGAAAGAGAACACTCCAAAGAAATAAGTCAAATGGGTGCTGCCAGCCCTTCCTGGGTTTTACGGGGGATGGCAATACTTCCACACACAGTTTGCAACATCACTTGTCCAAAGTGATCAGAAGAGTTTTAACTGTATGAGATGTACCCATTTCAGAGTTGTGAAAACGTGCGCCTCAGAATTGGTGAAAGGGCATGCATAGTACAGTATTTAACATGGTTTTTTAAGTAGTACATATGATATATGGGGAATCTTAGAAAAGCAATTGAATGAGGAAGGAAATGGGAAGTATACACTGTGAGTTGAATTATCAAAAATCCCAAAATACAATCTACCCCCTACATGAGTACACAGAACACACATACCTCAAAACATATATTGAATCATAGTCTTTAGTACTGTTGTCTTACTTGTATCTCTATATTTTGTACATCTTTTTGTTGTATTGAATAACTTTTGCTTTCATAAATCAGAATTAAGATCCTTTTTTATTTTTTATTTTGGGTTTTGTTGTTTTGAGACAGGGTTTCTCTGTGTAACCCTGGCTGTCTTGGAACTCACTCTGTAGACCAGGCTGGCTCCAACTCAGAGACCTACCTGCCTCTGCCGCCTGTGTGCTGGGATTAAAGGCGTGAGCAACCACCGCCTGGAAAAGTTATATTTTTAAAAAAATTACTAGGGTTGAGAGGTGGCTCAGTGGTTAAAAGCACCTTCTGGGCTCAGTTCTTAGTGCCTACATGGTGGTCACAGCCGTCTGTAACGCCACTTCCGAGAGACACACAGCTGTTTCACAGGAACGGCTAATCAGTGCACAGGGTGTGTGTGTGTGTGTGTATGTGTGTGTGTGATCACAGGCATTTTCTGCCTTTTGTGGGAATAAAGTCATTTTAAATTATAACAGGGTAAAGAACATTCTCAGAAGAGTTTTAAACAATAACATCTTTTAAAAATCTCCCCAGATTTAATTACAACAATTCTCTCAAAGCTAATATAGTACAGGCCAATGACCTGCTGTTTGTGCTTGTTGTGACCTGTCTTAAGCCATGCCTGGTGGTATGTGGTCTGTAGCCTGTGATCCACGTGAGAGGCAGAAGCAGGAGAATCACAAGTCTCAACCAGGAACTCATCGGGAGATGTTGTCTAAGAGGACAAAAGAATAATTAGTTAATTAGGCCAAAGGTGGATAAATAAGCTCTCGCTTATGTGTCTGTCCACACTCCCTCGCTCCTCAGGATGGAGAGAGTGCACCCTGGATTGCCAGCCTCATCACTTGTCTCTTCACGAATCTTTATGTGTACCACGAGAGTGTGGCTAAGATGGAAGCTAAGGGGAAAGGGTTCTGGGCTCCCCAGCTGGTTCCCCTTCAATATGTCCTTAGTCCAGTGAACTCTTGCTGCCCCCTTAACCTCACTTGCTCCTTGTTCGCCCTTGATGGACTGTCTGACCCACTTGTGTTTTCTCACAGCCACCAGTCACTAAAAGTCTTGTTACCAACTGTAAACCAGTAACTGACAAAATCCACAAAGCATATAAAGACAAGAACAAATACAGGTAAGCAGATGAAGCGTCTTTGTTCCGCTTAAGAGGAGTTGTACAGGTCCAGGTATTTCCGCCTCTACAGCGTTCTATTAACACTGTATTCCTGTAACGGTTACGTGAGAGTTCCCCCAGTAATCTTAGAAGACACATTCATTTCTGTTCATGTTGAGTCCACTGAAGTTTTCAAGAATGCTTTTTCTATTGAAAAAAAAAAATAAGATTTATTTATTATGTGCAATTGTTCTGCCTGCATGTATACCTGCTCATCAGAAGGGGGCACCAGATCTCACTATAGATAGTTGTGAGCCACCATGTGGTTGCTGGGTATTGAACTCAGGACTTCTGGAAGAGCAGCCAGTGCTCTTAACCTCCAAGCCATCTCTCTAGCTCTTCTATTGAAATTTTGCTTTTCATTTCCATTTATTTAATAAGTAAATTTACACTTATTTATTAAACTCTTTAACAATGTTCGACAATTAGGTTTGAAATCATGGGAGAAGAAGAAATCGCTTTCAAAATGATTCGTACCAACGTTTCTCATGTGGTTGGCCAGCTGGATGACATAAGGAAAAACCCCAGGTACTAATTTTTTAATTTTTTTTCTGATTGATTATATTTTTTTTCTAAATTCTGAAAATAAATATGAGTTAGAAGGTAACAAGCAGGACTAGAGAGAAGGGAGTGGCTTCTTTCAGTGAGGAGTAGATGGAGACGCTCCATGGTAAAAGGAATTTCGGCTGGGTTTGAACAAAGAGGCAGGAGTTATGAGTTAAGCTGTATGTTCCCTACAGAGGGCCTCACCCAGACTGCTAAGCATTGGCACCAGCTGTTCAGTGAGGCCCAGGGAAGACCGGGTAGAGGGGGTGGGGCGGTCACTTGTATATAGCTGCCACTAGGTATTCCTGAAAAGCTTCCTTCTGAGCAGTTGCCTTGGCTAGATTGAGTACCTGATGCCCTCCTAGTGACCCCTAGGGGTCACTAACTGCTGGGGCAGCTCGTTGATAGGATAGCATGGGGCTTCTTAGCTTTTTTCATTTTGTTTCATCTTATTTTGCGACAGGTTCTCACTAGCCCAGGCTGGTCTGGAGCTGAGACCTGCCTCAGCCTCTTGAGTCCTGAGATGGAGGCACCAGCCACCATGCTCAGCTCTTTTCCTTCTCTCTTGGTCTTTCTGTAAGATGTTTTTTGGGGGGAGGGTTGAGACAGGGTTCTTTATGTAGCTATCCCTGGCTGTCCTAGAACTCGCTCTGTAGACCAGGCTGGCCTTGAACTCAAATGAGCTGCCTGCCTCTGCCTCCCCAGTACTAGGATTAAAGGCATATGCCACCATGGCCCTTTCTGTAAGTTCTTAAATTCTTACTACATCCTCTCTTTTTTTTTCCAAAAATTGGTAGTCGGATCTGAAAGTTTTGTTAAACTTGTTTGATTTTTTAAAATTGTTTTCAAAAGTATTGTCATAACTTATCATAATCTTAATGGGACCATGGTTTAGTGACTTTTGCCTGAAAGAAAACTTGAAACAAGGAAAGAGGCCTCGTCCTAACCTGCGTTGCTGAACTCAAGCCTCTCACAGCTTTGTTGGAAACACGTTAATTCAGAACTCCAAGAGGCTACAGTGTAGGCCAGCATCTGCATGTCAGTCACCCAGGAGCGTGTCTGTATGCTCAGAGGCCTTGGCTTAGGTGCTTACTCTATTCCTACCTGTGTAGCCAGGCAAATACATGTGCTGAACACACACATCCGGCTGCACTAAACGGAAGTCATCTAGTCATTCCCATAGTTACATGGATCTTTCAGAATTACCTGCCCCAGTCCTCTTGTTTTATAGGCAAGGAATTTGCAAGGAAGTTGTGCAAACAGCCCTCCTCCAGGGAATGGTATCAGCGAGTGTACCAAGTTGGGGAGCTGGTGCACTGAACTATTTTTTTGGAATCAAGATTTCTTATCTTCTTAGCTCAGACCCATGCATGTGATATGAGCAGTGGCTCTCTGTTGTTTCAGGAAGTTTGTTTGTCTGAACGACAACATTGACCACAATCATAAAGATGCCCAGACAGTGAAGGCTGTTCTCAGGGACTTCTACGAATCCATGTTTCCCATACCTTCCCAGTTTGAGCTGCCAAGAGAGTATCGGAACCGTTTTCTTCACATGCATGAGCTGCAGGAATGGTAAATTCTTGTTTTGTACATATGTGCATGCATGTGTGTGTGTGTCTACATATACATTTGTATCTGGATTTTAGATTCCTGACAGTTCTTTAATGTGTTATCTGCTGTGTAATTTACTTGGGAAAATATAATTAACAATTTTTGTTTTATTAAGCATTTAAAAGTCGTTTACTGGTATTTCAAGAGATTTGATTAAAAAAAACCACATAGCTGTGTTTTTTCAGCTTTACTCATTTATTCTGTGATTTGTTGATCGGTATCTAAGTGAACAGCAGCCCCGACATGGAAGATGTTGTTGTGTAGTACAAAAAGATAGGACATGAAATCAGTATGGGCGACCAGGCGTCAGCAAGCTCTCAGAACCAGTGACACTTTATAGACATTGTCTGAAAGATTGACACTTGTAAGCATTGTGTAGAAATTGTGTGCTGTACTTGGGAAGGATGAAGACAAGTAAAAACTGAATACACCTCCGTGGCGCTGTGTGTGCAGCGTTGCTCTCCTGTGAAGACGCTCCTGTCACTCCAGAAGATTCCCAGCAGCCTTTGAGCAGCCGTTTTCCCATCACCTCAGCCCCTGGTGACCATTTATTTGCTTTCTTACTATAAATTTGCCTGTTCTGGATATCGCTCATGTGAGGGCATGTGCCATGTGACCTTGTGTGTCTAACTCACGTTAGGGGAGTTGTTTTCAGTGACAGGATCAAACCCGGGACCAGGCAAGTGCTTTACGACCAAGACACACTGCGAGAGCCCTTGATTGTTTAAGACAGGCTTTCGTTGTGCTGCTCACGCTAGGCTAGAATTCCCTCTGCAGCTCAGGCTGGTCTTCAGCTTGTGACCCTTGCCTCAGCCTCGTGAGTGGGAGTAATTGGCTTACACTAAAGCAGCTGGCAAGCGGTTGTCGAGCCTGACTCCTGTGTACATGCTCTAGTATAGTCCACAGCTGCTTTTTGTGCTTTCTCCATTGTCTTACTCCCTGCCAGGTGCTCAGGCAACCTCATTGACTTTATGAAGATGTTTAAAGCTTCCACTGCTCCCTAGGTCAGGGGCTGGGATCCAGCCTTCAGGTGCCCTCATTCCACCCAGGGTGACGGGCACCAGATTGAGTTGTTTAGGCATGGCAGTAAGGTTTGTGATGATACTGCTGTGTACTTGGGATGGGACCACTGATTCTTTGGGGGGAAAGTGACATTTGGACTTGATTTTGTCCTTATAGAACCTAGCTCACTCTCCCCTCCCCCACAGGGAATACAAGTTTACTCTTGAGCCAAATGTGAGTGGCTGTGGCCCAGGGAGTGAATTCAGGTTTCCCAAATGATGCAACTCCTATGTGGAAACTCTCATGAAGCCCCTATAGTTATAAAACAATAGGCAGCCATAAATAAAGTGCCTTAAAAACAAATTGGTAGAAACAATCAGCTTAATGGCTGTCTGCAAAAAATACAACTTTCCGTGTCAAAGTAGATATATTTATTTTGGAGCCAAGTAAGAGTGACCATGTCCTGGGAACATAGACTTAACGTACCACTAAATGCCATATTCCAATGTGGTAATAGTTAGGTGAAGTTTTTTTTTTTTTTTATAATAACAACAAAGAAAGTCATATATTAAGGCACTTTTAGAATAGCTTGGTGGAAGCATTAAGTTGGTGGGTTAAAGCCAGGCTGAGAAATATCTGCTCCAGGCTTTGTGCTGTCTGTTGACCTTCAAGAGAGTAAAGAAAGCAGGAGACAGGTGGAAGAGCAGTGAAGAGAGAACAGGAAGAGAAACAGGTGGGGCAGTCTTAACAGGTCTAGACAACTTGATAGAACTTGGTGGGTGCACTTGGATAAAACAGTGTGCCCGCTGCTCCTACCTGTTCATTTTCATTTTTGTGAGGAGAGGCTGTGAGTGAGGATGGATTCATGGCACGTATGCGGCTTTTTGCCGTGTTCAGTTCCCTGGAGCTGTGAAGGCAGAGTTCTTTGCATGTTTCCAAGTGTTAATTGGCCGGGTCCGGTTTCTGACTTCAGGGACATAGTTCTGACTTCAGGGACATAGTTGAGGAAGTGGTGGGCTTGAAGGTGGTTTGAGCGCATTTCTGTGGCCCCTCCTAGGCAGTTGGCCATGTCAGGATGAAGCTGAGTATGTCCTCCCCACCTACCATCAGAAACTCGCTGAAGTAGATGATGAATGCAAAACTTGTACTTTCTCTGAGAAGTAGCTGATGGTGCTCTGGAGAGGGGAGGAGCCATGTGGTTCACATCAGTGGTGGGAATGACAAGCATGGCGTTCCCATAGAGCAAGGTGTCCTGAGTCATGGCAGAGGGTGCCTGCTGTTACAAACCAAGGAGAACTGGAGAGAGGAAGTGCCGGTCTGTTAGGGATACATTGTGGATGTCAGTTGGGGTGTTTTCAACTTGGCTATTGAAAAGGAACTGTGCCTCAGAGGCTGGCCTAAAAGCCAGCAAGATCCAAGAGCTTCTCAGTCTCTGAAGAAGATGATGCCCACCAGTATGTTGACAGAAAGCCTGTAAACACAGAAGCTAAGAAGCTGGGGACCAAAGTTAGGCTGTGAGTCTCAGCTTCTGCTTAGATCCCCTGTTGGATAGAGCCTTTCAGAGGACCTCTAGAGTAGGCTCCCATCCTGTTCCCTCTCTTTCACCACTTCTGTTGTCTACCTTGTTTGCCATTCTAAGTGAGATTTAAGCATCCTCCCTAGGGTCCTCCTTGTTGATTAGCTTCTTTAGGTCTGTAGATGGCTGTCCAATGTTATATGTCTAATATCTGCTTATTAGTGAGTATATACCATGTGTGTCTTTCTCCTTCTGGGTTACTTCACTCAGGATGATTTTTTTTTCTAGTTCCATTCATTTGCCTGCAATTTTCATGATTTCCTTGTTTTTTATTGCTGAGTAATATTCCATTGTGTAAATGTGCCACAAGTTCTGTATCCATTCCTCAGCTGAGGGACATCTAGGTTGTTTCCAGATTCTGGCTATTACAAATAAAGCTGCTATGAACATAGTTGATTAAATGTCCTTGTTGAATGGTGGAGCATCTTCCGGGTATATGCCCAGGAGTGGTATAGCTGGATCTTGAGGTAGCACTGTTCCCAATTTTCTGAGAAAGCACCAGGTTGATTTCCAAAGTGGTTGCAGGGGGTCATGTGGAAGAAGGGGGAAGGGGCATGGAGGGGACAGGAGCTCCACAAGGAGACCAATAAAGCCAAAAAATCCTGAGCCCAGGGGTCCCTACCACAGAACATCACTTTCACTTTTTTTTTTTTCTTTCTTATCGCCCTAAAACAGCCCCTTGCTCTTTGCCATCCCTCAGCTAAAACCGGACTGTGTGCCTTACTTGTCCATCTGTCTGTCCTTCACACAGCCTCCATTTGTACTTTGCTTGTGTGACACACCAGTACCCCCACATTTCATCCACTTTCCTGTTAGAGTTCCACAGGCAAACCTCATTTCCAGAGTAGCCCCGGGTCCTGCCAGCTGCCTTCCTGTGGCTCTGCCTTCCCCGAGCCTCGCCAGCTCTTCTGACACCTCTGCAGGGCTCTGGGCCACTGTGCCCCTCTGCCACTGTTACTTCCCCCTTTTTAGCCAGAAATGTTGCCTCTCAAGGCTCAGGAAAAACCCTATTGGTGCAGCTGTCCCCGTTTCTACAGAACTTTAATTTTGATAACACATGTTTCTAGCTACCTTATTGATGACATGTCAGTGACTCTCCAAGTTTCTAAACACTTTCAAGCAGAAACTTTATCTTGCTCGTCCCTCTGTATCTACAGGAATTATTCTGGAATAAATGAATGTGGATAAATGAATAAAAATAAGTGATGTCTTAAGATCTACAAGCACTTTTCTTTTGAAGTGAGGAAACTTTTACTCCCTGTACAGTACTATATTTATTATAAAATAACAGATCTGAACGTGTGTTAGAGGTGTATATCTTATTAATATTTTAGGGTTGATTGGATAGTATGTTTTTATAAAAACTCAGTGAATAACTTTTGTTTCTCAATAGGAGGGCGTATCGAGACAAGTTGAAGTTTTGGACCCATTGCGTACTAGCAACACTGATTATATTTACTATATTTTCGTTTTTTGCTGAACAGGTAAGTTTCCCATGTTTCCCATGGCCTTTTAGAAAATGACACCAACTCAAACCCACTGTCGGGTGTAGAATCCCAGTACTCAGGAGGTCGAATCACAAGTTTAAGGATAGCCTAGGCTACTTAGAAGTTGGGTTGAAAATCTACACCATCAGCACACACACACACACACACACACACACACAGAGAGAGATAAAAAAGAAGTGAAGGGAAAGCAAAGCAGTGCCAACAGAACATTTAAGTTTTTTCCTATTAGCTTACAGCCTTGTCAGTGTGTCCAGCATGTAAAGTCATGCAGTGTTCAGCCAATGTGGCGACCTTTTATTCATTTGTCTTGTCTTCCTTTTTACTCAGAAACTCAGAATTAGTGTTGTAATGATTAAACAGAGGCGGTTCCTTTCAGTTAAAAACAGAAAGAAAACTGGACAAAGATCATAAAAATACATGGCCTCAGCAATGGCTGTATAGAACCTGTTGTTATAGGTCCTCGAAAAATGAGCCATGGGCCAACATAATTTTACTCTGGCATCTCTGTGGGTACATGTAAGCGTACTGTGCACAACACTAAGCAAAACTAGTGATTGCTTTTGTTTTGGGGAAAGTGTGAAGGAAACTTGGTTTTTGTTGTTGTTATTATATCAGACTATGGCAATGATCAAGAGTGTGTGGGTCGCACAAGGAAAGCTGGCTTCACTAACAGTCTTTTATCAATATGGGAAAAAAAAAACAAAACATTACTTAGTTTCTGTCTTCCATCACGTAGATAATTGCTCTGAAGCGGAAGATATTTCCCAGGAGAAGGATCCACAAAGAAGCTAGTCCTGACCGAATCAGGGTGTAGAAGCTCTTCATTTGAAAGTCACCTACCTCAGTGTTTTCTGAGCATCTCCCACCTCGCCATCACAGGGCGTCTCTATGATATGGCACACAGACCTCAACATCACAGGGTGCACCTAAGACGTGACGCGTAGACAGCCTGGTCGGGGAAGGCACGGCATGCAGACTGTGTTCTGCAGCGTGGCTAGAGCCCACTGCCCTGGAATTCGTCAGCACACGGAGAACTTGTGTTGATGGCTTGTTCGGCCTGTACTATTAAAGGCTTTGCTGAAGGACCTGTCAGCTTGTTGAAAAACCCTCACTGACAAGCCGCTGGTTTCCTCCCACAATCATTGCAGACTAAGAAGCCAGGCCAATTGGAATCAAGTGCTGCGGGACCCCAGTCTTTGCATTCCAAAGCCTTTTGGCATAATTTTTCACTTTTTACTCCTTTTATTCATTTCCCATTTTTAAAAACTAAGTAGCTACTAAGTTATTCTTGCTTCTGAAAATAATGAATCAGGATGTCAAACCATGTTTGTATAGATCTTATTTAAATAATGTAGAAATATCTCTCCCTTCTAGCATATCTAAATTATTGATTTTTATTAACATTCAAGTGGTCTTGAATAACAACTACTGAAGAGCTTGGGGATTGATGTTGAAAGTGTTTTGAGCTTGTTCAACTCAGTCCCCTAGAATACTGTGATGTTGTGTGCAGGCCTAATTGCAAAGGGCTAATGTCAAGTAGCATTGCTACTCACCGGATGTAATTATGTCTCGGAAATGTACATATGCAAAAGTACATACATATGTACATATACAAAAGTGCCTCCTTGAGAAATGAATAGTGCTGACAGTCCCAGCACATGGCTGTGGTGTCCAGCTGAAAGGCCACCATATCTCCCAGCAGCTTGCTCTCAGTAAAAGGACAGAGAGTAGATAGCTCAAGACATGGTCATCTTTGTCAGTCTTCTGTTTTGTTGTTGTTTTGGGGTTTTTTTTTCTTTATTTTTTATGCAACCCAGTAAAAAGATGAAAACCACCTTTAGTTTGAAGCTACGCAAAAGCCCCAGACAGACTTGACCCACAGGCCATTGTTGGCAGACCAGAAAATGAGCCTCATTTTTACGGGTAAGCTAACCCGGACACTAGTCATGCTCCGTTATGTCATTATACCGGAGTTGTATGGAAACCGGATGCCGTGAATCCTTTTTGAATTCTGACAGATATCTTCGATCATGATCTCAGTAGTATTCCTCCAAAATGGCACACATTTTTGTAAAGAGAACTTGAAGTGTAAATACTGTGTTTGTGCTGTAAATTTTGTGTATTTCAAAAAATGAAGTCTCATAAAAAATCAGATTTACTGATGCTTTGATTTTTTTTTAATTATTATTACTGCTATATTGTGTGTGAGTGTTTGGGCTGTATGCACTACACATGTGTCTGTATTCTTGGAAACCAAAAGAGGGTTTCAGATCCTATGGAATTGGAATTACAAATGGTTGTGAGCCACCGTATGGGTGCTGAGGATTGAACCTGGTCCTCTGGAGGAGCAGCCACTGCTCTTAACCACTGTGCTTTCTCTCCAGCCCTATGCTTTGAGCTTTAAGTCTCTGAAGATTGGCATTACTGTCCAGACTCGACAGTCATTTGAATGGTTGTCTGTGTGATGCATTTGGCTGTCCGGCTCTGCAGTGAACACTAATAAGTGTGAAGTAATGTAAGGAAAGGTTAGTACTAAGACTTACTGGAGAATATTGCTGTATGGGAGGAGGGTATAGATTCTAAATGAAACTTGTTAAAAAGTTAATCATTTATATAATAATTCAGCAGCTCATCAGAGCAGAATTTGATGAGTAGTCAGTGGCTGGGAATTTCAAAATCTTAAAACCATTTAAGTGAAATTCTATAAAAGGCTAGAATGTATCTTAAGTTCATTTGTGATACTAAAATAAAATGCAGCATGCTTGGAGCTGGAGAGATGGCTGAGTGGTTAAGGGCACATACTGTTCCTTCTGAGGACCTGAGTTCAATTCCCAACACCCACATCAGGCGGCTCCAGAGAGATCTGACACCTCTGACTGATGCGTGCTCTTATAATCATGTGCTCCACCTCCCCACACCGACACATACCTAATTAAAATAATAAAAATAAATTCAAACAAAAAAATGTTTATAATCCCTGCATTCAGGAGGCTGAGATAGGAGATTTGCCATGAGTTCAAGGCCAGCCCAAGCTACATAGTAAGTTCCAGGTAGTCTGTGCAACAAAGAGACCTTATCACAAAACCACCACTACTGTAAGGAATAATATCCAAGTATGAGTAATTTAGGAAGAACAGAAATGCATTACCTAATAGTTCTAGGGGAAACATCCAAGGTCAAGATGTGGGCAGGTTCACTTGTCTGATGAGGACTGCTCTGCCCTTGTGACTTAAATCGCTCCCTCTTAGCAACATTATATGGGTGATTAAATGTCACAGAAACCAACCTGCCTCCAGAGTGCTGAGATGAAAGGTGTGTGTCACCATGACCATCATACGTTTTTATTTTGTGTGCGGCAGGGAGAAGCCTGTATATGCCGTGGCATACCTTCAGAGGTCAGAGGACAACTTGTAGGAGGCAGGTCTCTCCTGAGACATGGTCATTAGGCTTGGCAGCATGTGCCTTTACCTTTAGGGCAACCTCAGCAGCCTGTTTTTTTTCCAGACTGGCATGGTGGTACACATCTGTCATCCCAGAAGGATGATTCTGAAGGATACAGCTGGAAGATAGTAAGTTCAAGGTCTACCCAAGCTACCTGGCCGGGAGAGAAGAATATGAGAGAATGAATATCCCAGATCTAGTGAGAAAGGAGGCTTCTTTTTAGTTGAACTGCTCTTCCATCCCATTTAGTCTAATTCCAGCCCTAACTTAAAATCTGCACCATTAAATGACATTTTTCTACTCAAAAGTCTCCATGAAATTAATTCTTTGGCACTGAAATATGCTTAGACTGTAAGGGACAGATGTACCTTAAAGTTCTTTAAAAAGAGGAATTCCAGAGATGTATTCTGGATGTATATGATAATTAATAATGTCCATTTGATAAGATGTAGAATCAAGAGACAAGCCTCTGGGCACAGCTGTAAGGTATCATCTCTGTTAGGCAAACTAGTGGGAAAGTGCATCCTACAGTGCGTGGGCAGGGCCTGTGTGGCAGCCCAGATAGAAGGAAGTCTTAGGGGGAAGCTTGTTCCTTTGTTGGCTGACAGTCGACCCTGCTGGTGAGTGCCTACCATGCTGACAGCCTCCTTATCCCGTGGCTGCCACTGCCGTCCATTGTTGGCACCTGACCCAAGCTCTGCAACCTTCAGACACAGATTAAAATCATTGGCCCTCCAGGAATGCTCCCAGGCCTTCAATGCCACCCTGGAACTGCGGAGGCACCCAGGCTCATGGACTGAGCAGCTTCCAGATGGCTGATGCGCAGACAGCCATTGTTGGGCTGCCCAGAGCAGATGGTATAGGCCAATCTAACCAATCCCCTTCAAGATGTGTTCATTCCACCAGTGATCTTTCTTTAGAGACCCCTGATAGGGTCGTTGCTTGGCTGTGTCCATCTGTGCCTTGCCATGACAATTCTATGCCTAGAATGAAGGCATGGCTCTTAATCCCTTCAAGTCCAGAAACTCCATCTCTGGTTTCATATAGAAAATCCTGATTGGGAATGAATACAGTGATTAGCTTACTCTTGGCTCTGTCTACTTTTGGCCTGAGAAATGGACCCTTTAACTCAAAGGAAGCTTTAAAGTTGAAAAGAGCACCACCCTCCTGTGAAGCTGGGTGTATATGGAAGACTGAGTTCCTAGACTGCCTAAGTTGAAGGCAATACTCAAAAAGTGTTACAAAATTCAAATCTATTGATTAAATGCAACAAACCTTAATGTGTTGTTCCTGAGAGGGTAAATATTAATTAGCGAAGTAAAGACAGTAAGTGTGGCTAATATGTCGCTGGGTGCTAGAGTACCTGCCCCTCATGTACAAGGCCTTGGCTTATATCTCCAGCACAGAAAAGAAAATTTTAATTTTTAAATTTGGCTTTATAATTCTAATTGGTTCTTCTGCTTTCCCTCACCTACGAACTTTGTATCTTACACTGTGCCAGCAACATTGTGTTTTCACAAATGAGCTGTACATTTCTAGGTTGGCCTGTGCCTGCTGTTCGTGCTTCACCTGCCTTTTCCTTCTTTCCATTGTTCTCCCATTCATACCTCTTCACCTGTTACTAGTCTTCGTTAGGGCTTTGATGGCTGTGATGAAACACCATAACCAAAGGCAAGTTGGGGGGAAAGGGTTTTATTTCATATTTTATTTCATCAACATTTTCATATCAGCCATTCCTTAAGGAAGTCAGGAATTCAAGGCAGGGTCCTGGAAGTAGGGATTGAGTCAAAAGCCAGGAAATGCTGCTTGCTGGTTTGCTCCCCATGGCATGCTTAGACTGTTTTCTTAGACAATGCAGGACCAGCTTGCCCAGGAGGTTGTCACAGCCCACCCTGGGCAGAGCTCATTCACCTCAATCAAAATTCAAAAACTGCCACCACAGGGTTGCCTGCAGCCTAATGTGTGGAGGCATTTTCTCAACTGTGGTTCTTGCCTCGCAGATGATCCTCTAGCTTCTGACACATTGACAAAAAAAGTCATCACATTCTAAGACATTTTCTAATCTTTCTTTTTATTTTATCCATTATTATTGTAGAGAGGAGGGTACTGCACCATAATGAGTGTGTGGAGGCCAGAAAAACATTCATCCTGGCCAATGCACCAAATGTCATTGGGCCTATTAGACCAATGCAGATGACAAAATTTTTTTGTAATCAAGTCACTACTGATCCATCTGGGCTGTAGAATGGACTCAGAAGCTGACCTATGGTCACCACCACTCCCTCACACCAGAATGTTACAAAGCTTTTAAGCTTGAAAACCACAAACATCTATGCCAAGTTACAGTTACATTTTGTGGAGTCAATTCTCTTTTTCTTTTTTTCTTTCTTTTTGTTGCAGGTTCCATTGATGGAATTCAAGTCACCATGGTTCTTCAGCAAGCATCCACCTACTGAGCCACCTCACTGAACTTACTAAGACATTTTCTAAGACACTGCTATGTCACATGAGTTCTCTTTAGATTGAATGTGCAGTGACCCGGGTGAGGTCAGGGCCTGAAAAAGGGTGGATGCAAGAGTGGCAAGGGAGGAATGAGTCAGGCACGGGGATTAGGAAGAGTTTAATGTCCGGACTTACTGGCAATCCAGGTGCTTCTTTAGTTATACAGACTTTAGTAGGCAGGAATAGATGCATGTTGTTACAAAACATAGATCATATCATTTTTGTCCCCTGGCACGTGTTATAACTTCTACTTGGTCGTAAGTTTAGTCATCATTGATAAACCATGACAAAACAGAACTATCTTTTATAATCAGTTTCCATCATCAATCCAACAATCCAACTTTTAACATTATTGCGGGCATATTTTACCAAAGCATGACAGCCTGTTCTCATGCTGGTAGCTCTTGTGGTTTCAAGGGCACTAGACAAAAAGAAAATCTCCAAGCCAGCAAGGGCAGATTGTCATGTCCTAAACAGTGAATTATCAACTTTTAATAGCCAGAGTACTAATTGTCATTAGGCCTAAGAAAAGTCTTCAGGCCAAAGCTACTGCAGTTATTATTTAATTTCTGCCGTAATAGAGTGTTTATATTTTATATACTTGTAGAATTTATTTATATGTCTAATCTTGGTATTTTTTGTTCCATGGTCATACAACACTCCAGAGGTCCTGTATGAGTTTACTTTTCTAAGAAAGGGAGGTCTTAATATTTTATTCTTTTATCATTTATCCACACCATTCTTTGTCCATCTGTAGTAGGAAAAGACTTTTAATTTGATCTGCTGCCAACTTCTCTAGCCTACCAAATGTTTACTAAAATTTACTCTGCTCTGATTGTTTTGATTCTGAGGAAGTATAGGGGCAGATGTGCCAAGAGTATCTTTGAGTCAGAGCCTCATAAGGAGGTCTCTGGCCTAATTATTTGAGTCACAACCTCCAGGGCATAAGGAAGAGCTTCAAGATAAGGATATCTTCCTAAAAGTGGGAGGGGTGGTAGTCTCAACATTCCTGGGAAAGTTTAGAAGCAGTACTCCTGGGAGAAGCATAAATGATTCATAAGAAAATTTCCATCAAGACAATATCCCCAAGTTGTACAGATAATTAAAAACCCTCAAGTATGCGACATGTAGAGATCAAGGCCAAAAGAGTGGGGGACTGTACCACAGTGATGGCATCACCAGGCTTAGCTTTGCTGGATCTTTGTGTTG